AACAAATACGCATACATACAAAAATAATGAAAACCAATTTGGTAAGCTAAAAAAACCCTCATTGTCATCGGATCAGAACCGACTTCTAGCTGACTGACAGCAAGTTTTTGGAAGCTGGGAAATAACCTTGCAGGAGGTTGCCGATTTTTCTCCACAGTGCCAGTTGTGGATCTGAACCACCAGAAAGGCACCACCCTCGGGGAGGTGGGCAGTGCAGCTCTGTGACTACACCACAAGACCCCCATTTGGTGAACAGAAGACTCAAATGTTAGTTACCAAAAAAACCAAATAAATGGCTAGGTAGAATACTTGGGGGAGGTGACTTTTGGGTAAAACAACACTGTACAGGATCATCCCTTTACCCAGGACCTGGCTGAGAGGTGACTAGTTAAGCAGAGCACTGGAACAGCAAGGTGTGCAGACATTTGAGAGACATTTAAGTCAAGCTCATGAGGCAGGATCACAGATTAGAACTGTGTTAATGTGGACAGCAGCATCTTTGCTGCCGAAAAGCACTCTGGCTGCATCTTCTCCAAAAGTTACCTGTTTGTTCTTTCGGCAGTCCATGGAATATTCAGTACTTTTCTCCAACACCACAGTTCCAAGGCATCAGTTCTTCCTCTGTCATCCTTAGTCACTGTCCAGCTCTCAGATGCATAGCAATTGACGGGAAAGACCATGGCCTTAATCAGTCACACTTTAGTCCTCAAAGTAGCATCATTGCTCCTCAGTAATTTGGAGATGTCCCTCACTAACTACAGGTTCTCCCAGTGCAATTCATCTGATCGCCCAACTGCTAGTACTAAGTGTATTGATTGTGGATCAAGTAAGATGAAGTCATTGACAGTTTCAGTTTTTTTCTCAGTCTATCATGATGGTACCTATCAATCCAGTGGGTAAGATTTTTGTTTTCTTGATGGTGAGATGCAATCCATATTGAAGGCTGCACTCTTTGATCTTCCACAAGTTTCAAGCCCTTTGCACTTGCAGCAAGCCAGGTTTTGCCATACGCATATTGAAGGTATTGATTCCTCCAATCCTGATGCCACTTTCTTCTTCATAGAATGCAACTTTTGGAATTACCTTCTCAGCATACAGATTAAATAGATATGGAGAAAGGATACAACCCTAACACACACCTTTACTAATTTTAAAACATAGTGTTCCACTGCTCTGTTCATACAATAGCCTCTTGATCTAGGTCTAAGCTTCCCATGAGCACCATTAAGTGTTCTGAATTCCCATTCTTTTCAATGTTAGACATAATTTGTTATTATTATCATCCAGTCAAATGCCTTTTCATAGTTAGTAAAGCACAGATAGACATTTTCTGGTAGTTCTTGCTTTCTGCCAGGACCCAGCTGATATCAGCAATGATATCCCAGGTTCCACAGCCTCTATTTCATCTCATAAACTTTGGGCATGTTCCAAGGGGAGGCTGTTCCTTGGAGAGAGACAGTGAAAGAGGAATGCCCTCAAGCAGGTGGCTGGTCACAATGATTGCAGCAGTGGGCTTGAGGGTGTTGGAAACTGTAGGATAGCACAGAATAGGATAGGGTTCCGATCTGTTGTTCATAGGGTCGCTCTGAGTTATACTCAATGGTACCTAACAATGTAGACAGAGTTCTGAATGAGATAAGGATGGCAAGACACAAAGTCTGATGATGAAGAAGCTTAAATTCCTGGGTAGGGCTTGATAAGGATGGGCTGGAGGACAAGAGAGAATGGGAGAAGCAGGAAACAGAACAGGGCAGGGACTTGAAGGGAGCAAATATATTCTAACTATCTGAATGGAGTTAAAGTTTGAGCAGGATGGACATTTTAGCTAAGGATCCCTGATAGCACAGGTTAAGCACTTGACTGTGAACCCAAAGGTCAGTGGTTTGAACCTAACAACTGCTCCATGAAAGAAAGATGTTTAAGTGGTTTCATAACGCCTTGGAGATGCTATGGGACAGGCTACTATAGACTTCCAGTGAGTCTGAAACAACTTGGTAGCAATGAGTTTGGACATTTTAAAAAGTCGTCTCTCAATGAGGTATCATTCGTTTAAACAGCAGGTAAAACTTGACTCTTCACACTCATTGCCGGTAGGTCTGAACTGAATCATACTTGACCCTCTGTTTGGTTCCCAGGCTGTAAACCACAAAAGAGGAAATGGTCTGTCCTCCCCCAGGAAGTTGCTGGCAGATTCAAACTGCCAGAGAAGCGTTTGATCAGTAGTGCAGCTCCCTACCTTACAGTTGGGATAGGAAAGAGAATGGCTTAGTGTTTAAAAAGTAAAGAGAAGTTCAGCAGCTCTTCAAGCAGGCCTGTACCTGTTGAAAACAGAAAGAACTGCTTATACATGACAAAAGTTCATCTAAATAGATCTCTTGGTTCCTTTAAAGAAAAAAAAGTGTTTTTATTGCAGTAAGCTTTCTTTCAAATCCAACCTCCTTATTTATTTGATGAAGGGTTCCAATATTAGAGGAGAGTGTCATGCTTAAAGCCTAGTTGTTGTTAGGGCTATTTGTCCTTGACCTGCAGGAAGATACAACTCAGACTTGGGGCGGGGGGGGGGGGGGGTGGAGAGCAAATGCCATTGATCGATATATCATCTTTCCCTCTTAAAAACTCTGCTGAGAGAAACGTTGGAATAACACCAAGATGACCAATAAGTCTGTAATTCACACCTTCATTGAACTATCTGTAAATGAAGTAGCTTCTGATCTTAGGAGCAACTCCCCCTGTCCCTGCTTTGGGAGCCCAATGTTAAAAGGTCAGTGGTCAAATAAAGTTGGCCAGACTCGGCATGTCCAGTCTCATGGCAGGTGTAACTTTTTTTTTTAATAGTTGTGTACCATTGTGTTGGTTCCAACTAATGCAGCCTTGTATTAAAGAATGTTGTTGTGTGCCATCAAATTGGAACTGACCCTCCAGTAAGGTCTCGGAGGCAGTAAATCACACAAGAGGAGATTGCCCATCCTTTGCCCAAGGAGCAGGTGGTGGATTTGAACCACATGCCTTTGAGTTGGCAGTGCATTTCCTAGGCCATAATCATTATAGGAGTAGATCATCACCAAGTCGTTTTCTCCTGTGGAACCCTTGGTGAGTTTGAACCTTTTGGTTATCAGCCAAATGCTTAATCAGGGCATCACCCGAGGTCTTAAAATTTGACTACTCCCTTTTCAAATTTTTTTGTTGGTTTGTATAGTCATTCATATGCATTATATAAAACAATATATGAATGAAACAACAGTCATTCACATACGTTGTGTTGTATGTAATTACTGTTGATTCATGCCTTTTATGAATAGGTTTGAGGCATTTGAACACTAGTGATTAAAGACCACTTAAGTTGTGGAATGATATCAAGGATGTTTTTCATGAAAAGAGTAAAAGGTCATTATAAAGACAGAGGAGAAAGAAAAATCCGAAACTAATGGCAGAAGAGACTCTGAAAATTGCACTAGAGCATCAAGAAGTCAAACAGGGAAAATATGCCAATGTAAAAGTGCCAAACAGATATCCAAGGGCAGCTTGAGAAGACAAAGTATTATAATGGAATGTGCAGAGAGCTGGAATTAGAGGATAAAAAGGGAAAAATTTGCTCTGCATTTCTCAAGCTGAGAGAATTGAAAAGCAAATTTAAACCTCAAGTTACCATACTGAAAGATACTGGGGCAATATATTGAATGACCCAGAAAGCATCAAAAGATGATGGAGGGAATGCACAGACTCTATACCAAAAAGAACTGATTGACACTGAAGAATTTCAGGAAGTATCATATGAGCAGGAGCCAGTGGTAATGATGGAGGAAGTGGAAGCACTGAAGGCATTGGCAAAAAAATAAGGCCCCAGGAATTGATGGTATACCAATTGACTTGTTTCAATTTACAGACGCAGCCTTGGATGCACTCACTAATCTATACCAGGAAATTTGGAGGACAGCTGTCTGGCCAGTGGGTTAGAGGAGGTCCATATTTGTTCCCATTCCCAAGAAAGGTGATCCAACAGAGTGTGGAAACTATCAAATAATACGATTAACTTCACATGTAAGCAAAATACTACTGAAGAAGGTACAGCTGGAACATTATGTAGATGGGGAACTGCCAAAAGTTCAAGTAGGATTTAGAAGAGGCCATGGCACCAGGGACATCATTCCTGATGTCAGATAGATCCTGGCTGAAAGTAGAGAATACCAGAAGACTATGTATTTGTGCTTTATTGACTGTGAAAAGGTATTTGACTGTGTGGGTCATAATAAGTTGTGTCTGACACTGAGAAGAATGGGAATCCCAGAGCACTTAATTGTGCTCATGCAAAACCTATACTGGGACCAGGAGGTTGTACAAACAACAGGGGAACATTGCATATTTTTAAATTAAGGGAGTTTGTCAGGATTATTTTATTTCTCCATACCTAGTTTATCTGTAGGCTGGGAAAATTATTCAAGAAGCTGGACTCTATGAAGAGGAATGTGGCATGAAGATCAGATGGACTCATCAAATTGCATTATACAGATGACAACCTTGCTTGCTGAAAGTGAAGTCTTGAGGCACTTGTTGCAGAAAATCAAGATGCAGCCTTTTCTTTGAGCTGTGGTTTTGGGGGAGAGTATTGAATATACCATGAACTGCTAAGAAAACAAACAGGTTCATCCTGGAGAGGGTTAAACTGGGCTACTCCTTGGAGGCAAGGATTCTGAAGCTTCGTCTGAGATACTTTGGACATGTTGCAAAGAGGGACCAGTCCTTGGAGAAGAACATCATGCTTGGGAGGTTGGAGGGGCAGTGCAAGAGAGGAAGACTTCTATGAGGTGGATTGATTCAGTGGGATAATTGGGGTAGGTGTGTCAGAGACAGTGAGATAGAGCAGGGTTTAGGGCTGTTGTACATAGGGTCATTATGAGTTGCAGGCAACTCAATGGCTTTAGACTGCATCTCAATGGCAAGAAATCAAATATTCTTACCACTGGACCAATAGGCAACATCATAGTGGATGGAGAAGAGATTGAAACTGTCAAACTTCATCTTACTGGGATCCACAATTAATACCCTTAGTGCCAACAGTCGGCATATCAAGAGACATACTGACTGCATTTGACAAGTATGAAGTTAGGTAACTCTCCAAATTATTGAGGAGTAATGATACTAGTTTGAGGACTAAGGTGTGTCTGATTCAGGCCATGGTCTTTCCAATCACTTGATAGGCATCTGAGAACTTTACAATGAGTAAGGATTACAGAAGAATTGATGCCTTTGAGTTGTGATGAAAAGAACACTGAACACTGAAGTCCCATGGACTTCCAAAAGAACAAATACATAAGTCTTGGAGAGGGTGCAGCCTGAGTGCTCTTTGGAGGTGAGGATGTTGAGGCTTTGCCTCACAATCTTTGGGTGTGTTGCTAGGTGGTACTTCTCCTTGGAGAGGGACATGATGTTGGGGAGGGTGGATGGTCGGCGAAGGAGAGGAAGACCCTCAACCAGGTGGACTGACACGGTAGCTGCTGCAGTGGGCTTTAGTGTGTCAGGAAGTGTGAGGATGGCACAGGATAGGACAGGGTGCAGATCTGCTTCTCATAGAGTCGCTATGAGTCATACTCAACTTGACAGCACTCAACAAGAGCATCATACCTTTTATTGTCTCATCAAGTCCCCAATGCACCTTGTCTCCTCTTTGACACACCCTTTTGCCCTCTATTCTCTGTTGTACTAGTTATTCCCCCATCCCTCTGCTTCCACACACAGCCTTCTCCTCTTCTGCCTCCACTTTTGAACAGTTATACATATCCTGCTCCTATTTCCAAATTACAGCAGCCAGATTTTTCTTATGTCGATTCAGGCTGATTCTTTCCCGTCTTTGACCTCTACAATGTTCATAGTCTCTACACTATTTAAACACTTTTCAATGGGGCAAGTGCGTTTGCATTTACAATAGCTGTTAGCATCCACCTTGTTACATTTGGCCCAGTAACTCATTAACCAAATGGCCTCTGAGGTATTTGGATTTGTGATTTCTAAACACTGAACTCAAGGGAGTTCTGGTGTATTACTGGTAAGGAACTGTGCTGCCAACCTAAAGGCACCTGGTTCAAATCAGTGGCTCTGCTGGAGAAAGATGGGCAGTCTCCTCCCATGCTATTTACTGCCTTTGAAAACCTATTGGAGGATCAACTATGAGTCAGCTCCAACTTGATGGCACATAACAGGAAGCACTGAAGTCTAGTGGTCAGTAGCATGTTGTGTGCTAGTGAGGTGGAACTGACCCATTGCTGACCCTTGAACAAGTTTTCAGAGGTGACAAATAACTTGAGAGCAGACTCCCTTTCTTTCATGGGGCGGCTAGTGGATTCCATCCATGTACCTTTGAGATGGCACTGTAGTTCCTTACCACTAAGCTACCAGAGTTCCCTAGTTGCTGGTCCAGAACAAGTCCTACTGCTAACTCAGAGCTGCATGTCCCCAACAGTTTGAACCCACCAGCTGCTCCAAAGAAAAAAAATGTATATTAATATTATAGGTATATCTAGATATATATAAATTAAAGCTACTTTAGTTCCATGGGCTTTGATAAACTTCAATTAATATTCTTTTGAAAACGGCATCAAATCTACCTGTTTAACACTAGGGATACTTGTCTGCCATTATAGTCTGGTAAAGCAGGTAAACTTGAGTTTATAAAAGATTAAAACACAGAAAAAAATTACCAACAACAAGAATAGTGCCTGGGCTTAGTTTTGAAAGAGAGTCAATCTCGGAAAAGATAAAGAGGCAACATAGTTTAAAAAGGTCCCAATGGCTAAACACTCAGTTTCCAATGTGACTCAAAACACCTCAAGTATCTGCCAGGTATGAAGAGGCCGGGGTGGTGTCATTAATGCGTGCTGCTGCTAACCTGAAGGTCAGTGAGTTTACTTAGACATACCTCAGAAGAAAGACTTGTCAATCTACTGAAAATTTAGCCACTGAAAATTCTACAGAGCACAGATGCACTCTGACATATCCTCCAAGGGTCAGTCAACTTGACAACTGACTTTGTAAAGCATATTCTAACTGGGAGAATCAAGCCATAGATTATAAAACCAAGATCCTGACAAAGTACACAATAAACTCTTCCACGTGGGAACAATTTTCCAGTTATCCTCAACCTAATGAAAATGGTTTTCACTGTTCTGCTTGCCTTTTGTTGTTAGTTGCCAGTGAATCCACCATTACTCACTGTGACCCTGGGAACACATCCAAACCTTGCCCTATCAAGAGCCATCCTCATCATCTCTGATACAATCAAGTTCATTGTTGCAGTCACTGTGTGAACCCAGCTCACTGAGGGTCT